GGGGGGCAGCCACAACCAGAGGTCCACCACCCTCACAGTGAAGATGACGTTCTAGAAGATGGAGATGGCTGGTGGCAAAACCATGTTTTAAAGTGAACTAAATAACCACTATGCAGCATAACTGAAACACTTTGCATGTTTGAGGTCTGACTTGCCTGCTACTGAAGTCAAACTTTGACACTAAGCATAGATGTGGTCTGTTTTCCAAAAGCCTGTATAAATTCCATCTTGCCCTTACAGCTGAACTCTGGTCACCTTAGACACAATGGTTATTCTCCCTGAATTAAGTAGATTACTTGCATGAACAAAAGAGGTTAAGCATACAATGTAACAAGTCAGACATTAGGGATGGTGTAGGTTTTCCTGGGGGAAGCTAAAGATAAGAGAGCAACAGATATGGAGCCAGGGGGTGAAAGAACTCTTATGAAATCTCTTTGAGTAATCACATCAAGAATGTCCTTAGTAGCAAAACAGAAACTAGTTTGAATCCAAGATGATGTCTCTAGGTGATTTCAGTTGCTCTCAGTATGTGCAAGTAACTTGACAAGAACTTGTGACTTGCTGTCTTGTTAAATCCATGTCTCTTCCTATTGCACAGATTAAAAATCTTTTGCAATGTTTTTTGTTGGATGGGAAGCCTGAAAGCAGAAGGCATGTGCAAGTGCTGTCACAGTAGAGTATGATTGTGTTATTTGGTGTTAGTGATAAGTTTGTACATAGGGAAGTTTGAATACGGTATTTAATAAAAGATATCCATAGTTTATTTTCATGAAAATCCATTAAAACATGATTTATTTTCATGTTTCAAATTTGAGAATGTGTTCTAATACAATCATACAACATCTTTTTTGGTTTTTAATAAAGTTTTCTTGTGCCATGTGCAACCGGAGAACCCTGTTATTTATATCTGCAGGATAAATGGCTTTTTAACTTTCAATTTAAATAGGGCAAACAGGACTTCATTCTTTTGTTTAGGGGTTAAATAATAATACGAAAAAGATACAGTAACCACCATACTCTTCCTTACGCCATTCAATATTTTTTGTTTGTTTTTGTTTGGAAGGTAGTCTACTAAGAATTAAAATGTACTAATGAAAAATCTGAAGGAACACTAGATGAAAACACAATTTATCAAGAAGATTAGAGTATTAATTAGCCTAAAAATTGATGCCGTATTTCATTGGATATGCCACAGAAGGGGGAATTATACTAAGAGACCCTGTTGCATTTTTTTTTTATTCCTCTGTATTTTCATTCTTTACACTGTAGTCAAATCTTCTGCAAGGAGACTTGGCACACGTTTACATATGGGCACAGCAGCCTCATCCTCACTACATTTTACATCATCTTACACAATGAAAGTATCATGACACGGAGCCCCATCTGCCTTAGAAAAAATAATATTTTCATCTAGCATTCCTGAAACACCATCTCTGAGAAATCACAACATTCACTGCACGCTCAAAATATAAAAACCAGAAAACACACTCGAGCTTTACAAATTCGACCATCACTCCAGAGCCAAGCCCCTCTGTTCCTTCTAAATTAACTCGTGTAACTAAGTAGGGCTTGGCTTGACCTGTAAGTAATGATGAACTGGTTCCATGATGTGTCAGTTATTAACTTGCTTGTCCTTTGCATCTTTAAGCCCATTGTGGGGAGGGGAGTACATTTTAACTGGTTTCCCAACAGCATTCCGTTTCAAAATTAGTACAATCTATTGAAGACAGGGTCACATACTGGATGAACGGGGTCGCTGCCCTATGTCTCTAAACATAATCGAAATGATAGATGAAAATGTCTTTCCAGGAAAAAAAAAACACAACCCAAAACCCAGCAGGGGCATCTCTCCCCCTGCAGATGCTAAACCCTGTCCAGTTCATATGGAACAGATCTGCTAGTGCTTCTGTTCCTATAATCAATGACGGGCAATCAGTGGTGCTGTTTAGCTGATGGCCATTCATTTCCTACTCATCTATGAAGGCTGCTAAAGGTTGGAGTCCAGCAACCTTTTGGGAAATACAGTAAATATGGAAAGATGCTTTTGTGATGAAGCATTGTGGAAGCTACTGTCATCGTAGGAGCGGACAGCCTGAAGTGCCTAGCTTTAAGGAGCAAACTTAGGGTCAATTAGTTGATGCTAATGGTGAAATGGACAACATCATGGTACCAGAGCCAGCAGAAATTAAAATTCGTTTTGCAGTGCATGATTAGCTGAGAAAGCGGAATGTGACTTTTCAACCCGGTCACAGTGCGAAACTCCTGCAGGTTTAAATATCCTAAAGGCAGCACGCAACGCACCATCCCATGCACATTCAGTACTTTTTCTACATGCCGTTTTTCATCCGTTAAGGTTCCCCCAGCGCAGGGGTAATCTCCCACAACCTGAGTTCACAGCCCGTCCTCTCCCCCACGGATGCAGCATTCGGGCGCCCTCCTGCCAAGTCCGGGACCCCCTCTCCAGCGCGGGTGCTGCTGCTGCTGCCCAGCCCCGCTCCCGCAAGACCGCAGGCTGCCCGCAGCCCGACTCCGGCCAAGCTCTGACCGCAGATGCGATGCCGGTCACGGCAACGACGCCCTGAAAGTAGAGCCCCGTCCTTAAACCCCCCTGGGAACTGCTGGAGGGCTGCGCGGCTTCCCGAGGAAGACAGCACCAGCCCCGCCTCGCTCACAGAAAACACCTTGTCACCGCCCCGAGCTGCTCGCCGCTCGCCCGCCTGCGCCGGTACCGCGGGTCCGTACTCACTCGGGGCGCGGGGACGCTCCGTCGCTAGCGCTGCTCTCCCCAGCCGCCTGGCTGGCCGCTCGTCCCGACGCGCGCGGGGCCGGAGAACCCCCGCCGCCCGGCTCC